GATCTAAGTGGAAAAAGAGCTCATCCGCAAATTTTGATCATCAATCGCTGAGATCACTCGGACACACAGTGGGCTAGCTTCGACATTTTCAACGCCAAAAAACAGCTATTCTCATTGTAGATCATCTGCAACAACCCATTATCCGCTTTTTATGTCTTCGAAAATTGACTGGAAAGTAGTTTTGTCCCCTACGGCCTCAGCTGTCAGGTCTTCTTTTCCAGTACGAGCGGAGCAGCGGCTCTCCTCTCTTTGCATCGACCCATGCAGAAAAATTTTCAGAGCTTTTTTTTAAACAAAACTTGTCGGGATCTGTTTTTAAGCCTCATGACAGAGATAAATAAGTCACGATGCTAAGAATGAATGTTTGCAGTTGCCAACAACGTCATACGCAACCACTTCAACGTCGTCAGCAACCTCAGCATCGACTTCAAGGATAGTCGTCGAGCAGATAGCAACAACATCCTCGTCCGCTTCCTTTTTGAGATCATGTTACATGAGCCAGCGTGCCCCAGCCGCAAATAATCAGCACCAGGTAAGTCACCTGGGGTTTTGTTGGAACTCTTTATTGTAGGACAGACTTTTCGAACAGCAAATTTCAAAACATTTTTTGTGGCAGCCGGCGACATATCCGGAGTCAAAAAAAAGTGAGTCGCCATTCAAGTTTGTTAGTCATCGGTCAGATCAGTGTTCGCTTAAAAAAAAAGAAAAGAAAAATCCTTATCGAATTTTGCACCAGTACTGTAGTCAATTCAAGGTATGCTTCGATTCAGTTTATCGTGCGTTAGCGCTCCACAGTTATTCAATTTGGAGTCATGCAACGGTATTTAGTCCTTTCTTATATTTTCAGCTTACTCCAGTGGTAGGATTCAAGGCTTCCTGTCTGTGGTTAAAGGAAAAAAAGAAGGATATACTCTTCGCTGTTCAACAGAAAATAAGATTTTGATCCCCAGCACCACTTTTATCTTTGGACTCATGTCCTGACGCGTCCACGCTAAATTTTGTTTTGTAGCCCTCTATAAACTAGCTAAACGGCAGGGACAAACACGCGTGAGACAAAAATTTGGTCCGTCAAAAAATCTGACTATCCCCAATTGATTTTAATTCAGTCAGAAATAATTTCTGACCATTTGAACAGGATGCCGAGGAGGAAGCAGGAGGATCAGCTTTTGCGATCGCCTCGTTACCGTCTGAAGTGCACTTGCACATACTAAAACATCTGCCGCGATACGACATCGATAATTGCAAATTCGTCTGCAAGCGATGGAAAGAAATGATCGACCGCAACAAGCACTCTCTGAGGAAGCATGTCGTGCAGGCAGTGGAACTCAGGGAGTACAAATCTCGCTTCATCCTCACTCTCAAGTTTGTTTCAAGCCTTTATTCCTTAATGCAATAGGTCCAGCCAATTAGTGCACCGAAGAT